TTGAAAAATGAGGTCATGACCCATTGAGAACTTGGCAGAGAACTTGGCCCTGTTGGATGTCAGTTGGACGCTTGAGAAAGCTAAAGGCATCTTAGTCTGTTTGCAGCTTGTGGATGCCAAACTTGAAAAGATGTGAAGAGATTTCACTCAACTAAAGAGGATATGTGTTTATTCTTCCTGGGACCTGAGTCAGAAATTCTAGCACTGCCACCACCACCAGTGAGGGCTCTATTAAACTACTCCTGCAAATCATTAAGCAGGCTCAGAAATGGGGATAAGAGGAAATCTAGTGTAACTCAGAAAACACATAGGCCCATTTTTTCACCTTCCATTTGAACACACTAGAAGAAAGGCTTTCCAACAACAGAAATAAATTATTCATATTTCTACCCAGGATCCATTAAATGTGGAGACTTCTCCCCCTTGTCCAAGTCATGCCTTGTTTTCAGGTGCTGTGTATGCTGAGAGAGCCTGGGGCACTGGTGGAGAGCAGGCATCCACCATTGACAATCAAGATCACAGGACCTTCCCTGGGCCTCAGGTTCCTTCCTAAACCAGCTGGATGCATCAGGTGACCTCGCTGGTTTGGGCTGCGGTAGAATACTCTGGTGATGTGTTCTGGTCTCTCAAGGTGAAGAAGAAACCCACACAATCAAATCACATTACCCCCTTGATTTCTTATGCTTTTCCTTTGTTCCCAGTAAGATATTCTGATACAGAAAATAAACAGGGAAAACAGTTTACTGCATTTAACCAAGTAAATAATTAAAATAACTAATGTGACTGGACAAGGTGTCCCATGCCTGTAATCCCAGCACTTTGGGAGTCCAAGGCGGGGTGGATCACTTGAGGTCAGGAGTTCGAGACCAGCCTGGGTAACATGGCAAAACCCTGTCTCTACCAAAACTACAAAAATTAGCTGGGTGTGGTGGTGCACGCCTGTCATGCCAGCTACTTGGGAGGCTGAAGCTGGAGAATCACTTGAACCTGGGAGGCGGAAGTTGCAGTGAACCAAGACTGCACTCCAGCCTGGGTGACAGACTGAGACTCTATCTTAAAGAAATAAATAAATAAAATAAAAATAACAATAAAATAACTAATGCCTAAATAATGCCTGCTATGCGCCAGACACCACGCTAAGTACTTCACAATATATTGATTCAACTGAGGAAGATACTGTATTATTATCACTCCCAAATTACAGATGAGTAAATAAGTCATGGAGCAGTTAAGTGGTTTGTCCAAAGTCTCATAACTTCTAAGTGGCAAAGCCAGGATTATGAATCCAGGTAGTTTGGCTCCGGAATGCAGACCTTTTAGACTGTATGTTATCCAAATATGTGACTGATAGAGTTGTCTTCCTTTGAGGAGGGAAAGCTAAAAGATCTCATTTTGTCATGTTTAGAAACTACTCAGAATCCAGAAGTTTGAGGTCTCTATTTAGAATCATCTTTGTCCGGGCCGGGCGCGGTGGCTCATGCCTGTAATCCCAGCACTTTGGGAGGCCGAGGCGGGCGGATCACAAGGTCAGGAGATCGAGACCACGGTGAAACCCCGTCTCTACTAAAAATACAAAAAATTAGCCGGGCGCGGTTGTGGGCGCCTGTAGTCCCAGCTACTCGGGAGGCTGAGGCAGGAGAATGGCGTGAACCCGGGAGGCGGAGCTTGCAGTGAGCCGAGATCGCGCCACTGCACTCCAGCCTGGGCGACAGAGCGAGACTCCGTCTCAAAAAAAAAAAAAAAAAAAAAAAGAATCATCTTTGTCACAGATTCTAAAAAATGACTCTGATTTTACCTGAAAAGATATCCAAAGGTTTGCCTAAAAATGTTATCAGTCATTTCTTAATAGATCAGCAGTGGGAAGACTTTAAAACACAGGACAAATCAATGTGGTAGAGAGCACACTTCACAGAGGCAGGAAACCAGGATTCCAGCCATTCAGCCTCCGACCCAAGAAGCTGTGCACCTTGGGGCAGGTGCTTCACCTCTCTGAACCTCAGATTTCTCACTTGTTCATGAAGAAGTGAAGACAGATTACTTTGGAGATCCTTTGCCTCTCTAAAAGAGGCTGTGAGTCTCTCTTCTTCCCCCAACTATACAGATTGTTGGTGATGAAGATATAAGGCAAGTGACAAACAAGTTTCGACTGTGCTCTGAAGGCAGACACCAGACAAGTAAATTCAGATCCCAGGAATGCGAGAGGAAGCTCTGGCATGGCCTTCCTATTTCAACAAACAATTAATCAATGCAGCAGCAGCCTAGTAATTAATACCCATCTTTTCTTTTCAGATTCTGCTCATCATAGACTCATCCTTCAAACTATGTATTTTTACCAAAGTTCATCCCAGACCCAGAAGGCATAGACAAGAAGGGACCTTCCCACCACAATCCTCCTTCACACACTCTATTTTTTACATTTGATGATAGAAACAAAACTCTTAAAATATTCAACACAAAATGTTTGAGACTTCCAAAGTTTATGAATCATAACATATCATCAATCTGTATAAAACATGACAAATAAGTGGTAAGTTCCTTCCCTATACCATGAATCTACTGAGGGCAGGCACTCAATGAATATCTGTTGATTTGTAATAAATGTGTTTATGTGAAGTTCTAATTGCTACCAATAAAGAATCAGGCTGATGCATGTGCTGATGAAACCTCAGTTTCTTCTGGGTTAATCACACACTTCATTCATCATCAGACAAGGCGGTAAGACCTCCTCAACATTTACTGCGGAAACTAAGACTTTACCAGAACATCCAATGCCCAGACTTCTCTCTCACACACTTCACTTAGGAACCAGTGAGACGGATCTAGCACACAGACACTAATACCTACAGTCAGTCATGCTTGGGAAACCCTGAGCCTAGGATTTGATGAAGGTTTGGTGGATTATTCCCAGCTCTCTTACCCATTTGGTTTTGTAACCTCAAGAGGTCAGAGCCAAAGGGCTTGTCGGTAAATGAAAGTGCCTGGGGGAGGGGAGAGCGGGCAGAATTGTTAGTGAATTTAGGAAGTCACAGTCCAGTGGCTAGAGCTGCTTTGTCTTAAGAACCCCATGTTCTGACTTTGAGGGACGCTGGATATCCATGGCATTACTACCCAACCCAGGAGAAACCTGTCTCATGCAAGCCAGGAGACTTGAATCCACTATCTTAGTCTGTGTCTTTACAATCATGACACTGGGGTGGAGTAGCCTGAGGATATTTTCTATATGGCCTTTTCTGAAAGGTCCATATCAGGCTTGAACCATGAAGTAATTTGAAAATGACATTCTCGTGGGATCTATTCCCAATTACAAAGACCATTGGTTAGTCCAAAGATGACCTTTAATTATCACTGTCATCACCTGAAGGCATTCAGTGACACTGGACTGCTGCTAGGATGTGGGGGAAGATGATATTCACCCTTTGGGAATTGAAGCACATCTTACTTCCTTAGCGTAACCTTTAGTCTTACAAAGAAGGCACAGCTCCTTACTTGACAAATTCTAAGTAGCAATAAGATCTAGCCAAGGTTTGGAAGGTCTTGTCCTTAAATTCCAACTCTGCTGAGCAGAGAATGCATGTGGACATTAGCTGAGTTTTCATCCTCAGTTGCCAATTCTTCCTCTCTTCGGAATAATCTCAATAACTGTCATACTTCCAACTTTTATTGCATAGTTTTTCTTCAACTTCTCAAACACCTTCCCAAAGAATACCTCATTTGGATCAATTAAATTCTAAATAGTTTACTTTACCTTGTCATTCTGTTAAAAGTTTTCTTTTTTTCCAGCCAGTTCTGGAATCCCTCTTAACTTTCTATTGCGAAGCACTCCAGACCTCCTTTAAGCTACCTGGCTTAAAAGAATGAAGAGTTAAGAGCAGGGGTGTCCAGTAGAAGTTTCTTCAGTGACAGAAATGTCTTATTCCTGCACTGTCCAATAGAACACTTGACACATGTGACCGAAGAACTGAGTATTAAATTTTATGTTAGTTTAATTAATTTAAGTGAAACCAGCCACATGGGGCGAGTGGTGCTGTAACGGACAGTGTGTAAGTTAAACTGTCAGTCATCATGATTTAACCTCCTTTCATTTCCAAGTGCTACTGATTTCCACCCATAAAAGATTTTAAAGTTTAAGTCAAGTTTCTATATAGTCCATATGGTTTAAAACTGGAGTTGTGTGCTCTCCCCTCAAATGCAAATACGGCGCAACCACAATGCGGGGCAGTGGCAACTTTATTCTTCTACAGGGTCTAGGAACCTTCACATCCCTGCTGGGAAGGCTCCATTCTTTCAGGCTTGTGAATCCCCCACCCGGCACCCACACAGCTCAAGGCTTCTAAAGAGTGGCCCTTTGTCCCCTTGGCTTGTGTGTCAAGGAGGCAAAGGATTCTACTGCACGGTAATTAATCAAGTGACCCACTTCTACCTTTGATGTGGAAGAAAATAGTCAGGACCACATTGAAGAGGAGAAAGTGAAAGACAGTGACAGAGAAATGGGGGGCAAAAGGAGAGAGGGAACTTGCTAGAGAGATGAGGAAAAGATAAGGCAGAAAACGGGAGACAGAGGTGGTGGGAGTGTAGGGCACAGGCATTTCAAAGACAGATACCAGCCATCCTTCGCCATTCCCTATTCTCAGAAAAACCAGGATGCCTCCCGCCACTGTGGCAAGTTCCTTTTCTACTGCTGGCCAAATTCAAGCCATGAGTCAGCCTAACTCAGAATACGGGCCTCATAAAGGTTTATTGGGATGGTTTCGACAATACCTATCCACTTCCTGCTCCAGGGTCCCTATGCTAGTTTTTGCTTGTATCAACAAGAGGTGCACCCAAAGGGAGCATTCAGAAATATCCTGACTAAGCCAGGGTGCTCCAAGGAACACATGGTAAGTCTGCAGGTCTCCTATAGTTGGGAACTTCCTTTATCCAACTGAAAAAACCAGAAATCCACAACTAACCACAGAGAAGGCGGGGACTAAGAATAATTTGTAATTAAATACAATAACTTGGTAGCAAAACCCTTCTCAAGGCCTTACAGGGTTACCTTTAAATGAAGCTCTTTAGACAGTGGCTGGGTGGAGGGTAACCCTGAAAGAGAGATAAATGAAAGTAGTCAAAAACAATGGTTATGTTGGCATTTGTTTTGCCTTCCTTAAAAAAAAAGAGAGCAAGAGCTATAATATGTGTTCCTTTTGTACATCTTAAAAACATGTTAGGGAGGACACACTGAGCTGATAGATATGCAAAATTATGAATATTCCACTCAATAATTAAGCATGTCTTCTTTTCTTGGCCCTTATAATGACAGCATTTCCTGTACAATCCATTTTAATCCAATTCTTTGATATTTAAAAAAATGAAGATTCCTCTAATTGATTCATGGAGAATTTTTATTTATCCAAAGGAACTGAGAAAAGTTCAGTTTGGAGATAATTATGGGAGCTTTTTTATGAGGTTAAGAGTTGGCATGTACAGGGGAAATTATCAAAGATGCAACAAATTGATCTGCAGTTTCTCTAGAGAACAAACTTGATTTCACTCAACTGCATAAACACACAGACCCAACACACTTACCCTCTTCACGGTTCTCAGCTCAGCTGGATTTGGGGCCAGGCTATAATGTTATAAATGTTTTAAATGAGGAGCCAACCCTCTTGGGTCCTGTAAACATGTCCAGTTTTCCCTGGCCAGACATCGGCGTCTGGTTAGGTCTGTCATAGGTGAATAGGTTTCTTCCCAGCCTATCCAACTCAAACCCTCTAGGAACTTATTTGAAAACCACAGAACATCATTCCATGCTTGATTTTGCACTAAGATCTTTCAGTGGGTTGAAACATACAGCACTTAAGAGCAGGTGTTCCTAGCTCCCGGCCCAGCTCCACGCCTGAGGAGGCTGCAGAGGGCATGCCATTCTCATTAAAAATGCACCATTGCCAATGTCTCTTCCTGAAATAGGCTCACCTTGTTTCAGACAGGAGAAGGGGGTCAGACACAGGCAATACCTTGGCCACTCTATCTCCTGGGAAAATGCTTGCTTGCAAACTGAGGAGGGACACAAATAAGCATTAATACATGACTGTTCTCTAGATACATTAACAAGGACCCAAAGTGTCTTGAAGGGCAAACTTTGGCCTTAACACTGATCTGTTCATACCCACATTAATCCTAACATAGAGGGAAACTGAATGAGTATCTCCAATTACAGAGGATGGCCGATCAGAGATTTGATTTTATTTTATATTTTTTGAGAGAGGGTCTCACTCTGTTGCCTAGACTGGAGTACAGTGGCACAATCACAGCTCGCTGCAGCCTTGACCTCCCAGGCTCAGGTGATCCTCCCACCTCAGCCTCCTGAGTAGCTGGGACTATAGGTGTGTACCACCATGCCCATATTTTTTTTTTAATTGTTTTGTAGTGACAGGGTCTCACTTTGTTGCCCAGGCTGATCTCAAACTCCTGGGCTCAAACAATCCTCCCACCTCAGCCTCCCAAAGTACTGGGATTACTGGCATGAGGCATCATGCCTGGGCCAGAATTTTAGATATTATATTGTGTGACTAGCTGGAATGATAGGGAAGGCTTCCAAATCCAGAAGGCTCAAAGACTCATTCTCCTTTCCTAATTTACCGATGAAATGCACATTTCGGGTCACTGGTGACTTACACAAACTGAGAAAATATCATCTCTTTCTGAACAGCTGTCCTGTCAGCTGCAGATAGTTGCTAAAGTGCTAGTAACAATAAAACATTGCAACATCACAAAGACTCACTCCGTCCATTTGACCAAGATGTCACATACAGCACTGAGAAAGAATACCTTCTGTCAGAGGCCCACCCACGGCCTTCCCTGCAGACTTGGTCGGGGGAGCGCCATTGTGCAGGCATGGAGCTCCGTACCCTCCACACCCAATTTGCTCACACTATAAGCAGTTCTTCACATCAGCCTGGCTAGCTGGCCCTAGGCCTCCAAAAATGAGAGGGGGAATAAAAGGGTAACTTGTCAAAAGCAATTTTTCTTTCCAGGCACCTCATTCCTTTTGTATTTCAATAGTTGCTGTAATGCAAGAAGAAGGAGGGGCGTTTCTCCACTAAGTATGCGACAAAACGAAGGGAACCGCATGAGGACAAGAAATAGGAAGGCACAAAAATCTTTATGGTTTGACAAATATAAATTATTCTAGAAACATAATAAATAACAGTTATCAGGCCAGGCACGGTGGCTCATGCCTGTAATCCTAGCACTTCGGGAGGCCGAGGTGGATGGATCACTTGAGGTCAGGATTTTGAAACCAGCCTGGCCAACACGGTGACATCCCACCTCTACTAAAAATACAAAAATTAGCCGGGTGTGGTGGCACATGCTTGTAATCCCAGCTACTGAGGAGGCTGAGGCAGGAGAATCACTTGAACGTGGGAGGCAGAGGTTGCAGTGAACCGAGATTGCACCACTGTATTCCAGCCTGGGCAACAAAAATGAAACTCCATCTCAAATAAATAAATAATAAATAAATAACACTTATCATGTACTTACTATACAACAGGCACTGGGTGTGCATTATTTCATTTACTTCCAATACATGTGGCCCTACGAGGTAGACATTTTATTTCCCTTTTACAGTTGAGGAAAGTCAAGCTTTCAGCCCCAGTTGCACAGGTGGTAACCGAAAAAGGCAAGGTTGGAGCCCAGGCCATCTGACCCCTAGGCCTGCCTCTTACAGGCTGTAATACCTCTGCTATGACAGCCAGACAGAGGCGTGTGAGGACAGCTTCTAGCCCAGCAAACATCCTAAGAGGAAGAGAAATATCGTCCATGTTACCTTTCATAATTACCTACCATTACATTTTAGGATGCCCATCTTCCTTTTCACTGGCTGCTTCTCTAGTGCAGAGAGCAAGGACTATCTCAAGGTCTGTCGGGTGGCACAGGAAATCAAACATCGGTCCTAGGTGGCCAGCACCCGGCCAAGTCAGGCCAGACAAAGGCCAACCACATTTTCTTTTTAATAAGGGTATTAGTCTGCTCGATCAGGAGACATGGTGTATCTGATGTTCAGCAAGATATTTGCCAAGTCTTTCAGGATACTCTGGTGGGCAGGATGGAGAAATGCAGAGACTGGCATTGTGACAAGCTGTCTTTCCCACAGACTGCTGAAGAATGGGCTGGTGTCAGTCTCAGACATTGCTCTCTCGCCTTTTTATCAACATTCCAGACAATCTAAACTCTCACACGTGCTCCCCATTCCCCTCTGAGGAGTTGAGCCCCTTCTCCTAGCATCTTGCTCTGTCAGTCCCACCCACAAGTACCCATAGCCCCTCCCCCAGGCTGTGCGTTCTTTTGTCTCTGGTCCTTGGATCATGGGATTGCCCCACCTGGAACACTCTTCTTTCTCTAATGCCACATCTCTTGCATCTCAACTTAGAGGTCACTTCCACAAAGAAGCTTTCTCTGACCACCACCCTCAAAACTCGACAAGATGTTCACCCCTGGGTCACCCTTCCACGTGTGCCCACACATGCCACACCACCCTCATCATCACAGGTACTGCTCATATTGTTGGTGACTGGTTTGTTTTCCTCATTCAACTGTAAATTCCACGACAGAAGGGATATGACTACCTTGCTCACCATTTTATATCCAGTACCATGACTGGCATATTATAGCAGGTTTTCAATAAATGTTTGTGGAATGAATAATTAAATAAATAAAATCAAGTAATCTCAGACTAATGACAAAATCAGAATTTTAAAAAGATGTCAATAGTCTAGGACAGTGGGGTGACTCCAGCAAGATTAACTGGGATCAATGTTAAATAAAACACACGGGTAAAAAAAAAAAATCATCAACTCAAATACTAGGTGAGAGATGCATGATTTTAGCAGCACTTGTGAAAAGACATGGGATTTTTAATAGTGAGTGGAATGTCACTGGTTCACTCAAAATGATAATGTAATGTATTTATGGTTAGGCACAAAGTATCTTAGAAGTAATGAATTTTGAACGAGTCAAACCACATTGAGTACTGGGTCTGTTCCAGTTGCTATATTTTAATATAAAAGATGACAAAACAGACTGCATGCAGAGCAAAACAATCACAAAAAAGAGAGTGTTAAAAACCAAGTTATACAAAACATGGCCAAAGGATCTTGGGTTGTTCAACCTTGACAAAAGAATGTTTAGCTAGAAGGCGTGATCACGGTCAGGTGGAAGACCAATTAGACTTGTATTGTATCTCTTTTGAAAGTAGGCCCAGAACTGGGTAGAAGGCACAGGTGTGGAGGAGAGATTTCCAGCCCAATATAGAGCTAATCATATGGGATCAGAGTTGTTAGGAAGTGGACAGGGGAAAGGGGATTGGCGTGGTTGGGAGCATCCCAAGAAACCTTCGAAGAGAGTAACCTTTAACAAAATGGATGCCTACTTGGCAGGGATATTATATGGTGGATTTTAAGAAACAAATGCAGATTTGGACTTGACAGACTCCACAAAGACCCTTTCAGATAATTCAGGAAATAATCTGCAGGCCTCGTATTGTTGCATTTCAGTGACATCCTCAAATTCCCATGACGGAGCCAAGGCAGCCACATTACTTGATCCCACTAACCCTGAGCTGTTTCAGGTCTGTGTTGTTGTATCTTACCTCATGACTTGGAGTTTTGTAAACTAGAACTCAGGAGACCTGGTTTTAATCCTGAAGTCTAGAGGATAACCTGTCACTGATTAGCTGAGGGCTTATCATTGTGTTTAAGCTCAATTTCTACAGCTGTAAAAATAAGGAAGTTTGGACCCACTTGCTCACTTAGTTCTTGCCATATACACTTTTTAAAACATTAATGTTTCTCAGACTTGGTCCTAGGACCATAGCATCAGAATCACCAATGGATACTATTGAGTATATCAATTCCTAGGCTCCATGCTAGAATTTGTGAGTAGAACCCAAAAGTGTACATTTTTAATAAAACACCATCAATCGCTAATAAGCACACTGAAGATCTAGAAATGATTTAAAAGAGTCTGTGTTCCTTTAAGATCAGCACAGCTGACAGGCAGAATTCAGGCACAGAGAGGTTAACTTGGTGGCCTACATCTCTTGGTAAAATTGTCCCTAGAAGAAAATAATCAGGACATCTCCTGTTCTCTTTGAGGACCTGAAAACTGAAATAAGGTGGGTGGAGAACTAGAATAGTCTCCAAGACACGTCTAGTATGGCTGGAGAAGACTCAAGCCCTGTCTGGTGAGGAAGGAACCAGAGTGTTAAAACAACAGGCAGCCACACACTCTCCAAGTCTCCACAGCAGGTGAGGACAACAGCAGGCACAACTCCATAGCAGGTGAGGACAAAATAGCAGGCACAGCTGCCAGACTGCAGAGAAAAGTGTAAGGTAAGGCCTGGCAACAAGCTCTCACTCCACACATTTATCCTTTGGGAGAAAGATGAGTCAAGGGTTGAAAAACTGGGCAAATTAAAAAGCAAGGGCTGCTCTGAATTAACTGCAAACCATGCTACACCAGGCTCAGGAAAGCAAGTGTTTCCGATCATCTGGATGACTCTATCACAGTTGTACTCATTACACAGAAGTAGCCCTGCAAAATATTTTTGTCTCCCAATTTTGAGGTCCCAGAGAACTGTTTTCTCAACTTGCCATGAAATTTCCTTGGTTTGAAGACCTAGTAAAATTAGTAGAGTTCTTTATTTTAATTGGTGAAGAGAAGTCTATATTTAAAAGCCCTTTTGGCTGCAGACCCCAACTAGATGTAAGACTATCACCACTCGTAAGTCCATTTTCTCACATATATTTTCACTGAGGTTTTCCTGAAACTGAAACTCATTAGCAAAAGTGTTTTTCTTAATCTCTGCTTGAAATGCACATGACATTGCTGGTTATAAAAATTCTGGTTTTGTCCTATAGCTTGTTATCCAGGCAAGCACCCTAAAATAACAGATAGTTTCACTAAGTCAGCTGCTTGCATAAGCCTCACTGTCTGATATTTAAGCTGAAATGACCCAGATGCTGGCACATTCAATATTTATACATTTAGCAACCACCTCAAACTCCTGCCCAATCCCTTCACAAAAACAAATCCATGGATGCTCATCATAAATAGAAGTCTTGCTTAATACAGGGGTTTCCAACTGTTTCGATGAGGCATATTGAAAAGGTTAAGACCACAGATTTGCCCATAAGCATGCTGAACATTTGGGTCTTGCACAAACCAGAACAACTTTTGATGCCCCTCTCCCCTTACAAATTACAGAAAGGCTTTATTTCTAAGTCATGGCCACTAGTCAATCACAAAGTCACACCACACTGAAACCTCCAATAGCATCTCCTTAAAGGACACCTTCGGTCTCTCGGCTCTAAAGTCATCAGGTGCCTTTACCAAATCAGCTACAAAGCAAATAAGCCCTGTGAAGAAAATATTCCTAATGCTGAAAAGAATAAAAACTAAAGCTTGCCTATGAAGAAAGTTAATTTCATATTCCTATCAGAGAGTCATCCAGTAATACTGCTGGAAAAATAAAAAGTACCTTACCCAGAAACAGTTGAATTAGCAGATGGATTTTGACAGGACCTGCATAATTAAAGTTTCCACTGCAGCTTTAGAAACTCCTGTTCTGAAACCCATTTTGTCAGCCAATGCGAAAGAATGTTTTTTTGGCTCGGGAATATAAAATCCAAATAGTCCCAGAGGAGAAGCTGCCTCTCAGCTTGGACACCCTCAAGAACTGCCTTTCAAAGAACGACTCTTTCCTCTGGAAATGGATCTTGACATTGACATTGTCATGTTAATTGGCCAAATTCAAACACAAGTCATCTCTTGAACTAGCAATTGGAAGACCTTTGGGTAGTCTGTTTTAAAACTTTTTCCTAAAGGAAAAGAGACATGCTAATAAAAAGTCAGCCTTGGCATGCTAGTCCCTAATAATTAAGGACCCAAGACCAAAATGCTTTTTGTTAGCTGCTACTGGCCAAGAAAGCCTTCTTCTTTGCACATATTCCCCACTGGGCAATACAAACACACACTCAGACCTCCAAACCCAATATAATAATAAATAGTCAGACGTGGTATGAATAAATTGCTGCCTACATATGTCTAAAACCTTGTATCAACCAACAATTTTACTCTTCTTCTGGAGCAAATTTTGTCCCATTTTAAAACAGACCTATTCACAAGGAACAGAAATATGCATTTAAAGGTGGCTCAGTGAGGGTCCCACAGCTCCAGATCCATGACCTCCGTACAAAGCAACCAACTGAGGGGACTGGGGCAAATGCAGAATACAACGCTCATTGTGATGGATAAAAGATGCAATAACCCCAACTAAAATCTTCCCGTCTACCCAAAACAAAAACAAAAACAAAAACAAAAAACAGTAAACAACATTCTTGAGATGGGATTTTGATTTCTGGGCCTGAAGGTAAGGTGTCAATAATGCTGCCAAAACCAGTGCCATTTCTGTGTCATTCCCTTCCTGGGTCTGGAAATGACCATGGCAGAGCTCAAAGAAGGATGACTTAGTTTCTACGGCTCCATAATTGGAAATCATAAGGCCCTGTCTCACCAATTACTAACCAAGAAAATATTTTTGACACATCGTTTCTGCCTAGTTCTGATCTACTACTGAGGACATATCCTTAAACCTGATTAAAAGAAATGAATGGCACAATTGGAAAGCATAACTAGAAATAAATGCTCCATATGTAAGAAAAATGTAGATTTTACATACCTGAAGACATGTAAATGTTGGCTGCATTACAGTTTCTGTAAAACTCCTCCCACTGATTTGAAACCCTCTAAGCATTAGTTTAGAGGAGTCACTGACAGATTCTCTTGCCCAACTGGTTGCAGGAACCTAATACTGGCAAGTGTGCAGTATGCATGTCTCTGCTTTAGAAATCAGGCTGTGCTGGGCCACTGGTGTTGTGAAATAAGTCTCCTATCTTAGGAGTGAAACTAAAGACTGGATCTGTTTGTATCTGAGAGCTGGAAAAGCCCAGGAAATGGACTCCCGCTTCAGAAATGAGCAATGAGCAAAATTAAGATGTAAATTAAATGGCCTGGAAGTCAATGCTGGCTTACCTTGGGGAAGCTGATGGCGCTCTGTAACCAAGTCCTAAATAGCAGATGCTTTGGG